TTAATGCCTTTCCCAGCCATTGATCTGGTCAAAGTCACCGCAGAAACACTAGTGACAGGGACTCAATTCCAGGCGACGTGACCAACGCCAGTATTTGGAAAGCATTCGATAAAAAAGCTTTCCCGGGGAGTCAATGATCTCACCTTGCCACAAAGAGTGCTCAGCTAATTGAAATAATGCACTTGGGTGTGCAGCCGGGCACTCCTGCTCGCCCACACCGGCTCCAGGACCAAATTATCAATAATTCGCAAGGTAAAAACCTAAAACCTCTTTTTTTCCCCCCTTTTTCTTTTTTTTCTTTTCAGTAGGAGCCCATAGGCAACGCTCGCGGCCTTGGCGGTGGCTTAGGACTGCTGTGCTGGTTCCCCGGCCTCGTGGTTCAGGAGCAGGCTTTAGGGAATTCCGGGCATGGAAAATCCTGGAGGGAAGAGTAGAAGGAAAGGAGAGAGGGGCTGGGACAGGAGAAAACAAACCAGGGACCTGCTGTGGTGATTCTCCTCCAGGCCTAGGCTGGGAATTCACTTTGCATCGCGAGTTTTCAGCGTCATGTATCATGCCAAAAAAGTTGTGGGGTTCAGTAGGCGTAAGCCTTCCTGATTTACTTCATAGTTGATGAATTTTTAGGACTACACTTATTGTACATCATTTATCATCTCCCGACATCCCTTAGGATCTCATTAATACCCTAAAATGAAAGTATTTTATTTAGCAGCAATATGAGAGATTGAGCATAAGAGATTTAAGTAAAATATGTAAAATTTGATGACCATAATCCACTGTTTCCAATAAGTTTATCGCTCCAGACACCTTGACAGGCCAGAAGACAAGTGTAATTTTGTTATGTTTAAGACCACAAACTTCCACTCTCTCCATACCATCCTGCCTGAGGTAACACAAGCAACAATCACTGAGAATGCCAAAATTCTGGCAGGCATGAGAGGGACCAGGACGTCCAAGTAATTGGCACTTGACTGAAAAATGGTTGGGATAGAGGAAACTGGTATTCTATATGTTATTGGACTGGAAGAACTTCAAGGAAGAAAAGCCATCTCTAATGGTATGCAATACTGTATGCTGCCTAGTGTTTATGTGTTTTGAAAAGAACCTGCAAATGTAAAAAAAAAATAATAATCTGTGAAGAATTTTGTTTTCCTGTCATCTCTGGTTGCTTGAACGTTTCTGTTGTAAGCATCAGATACTTCTTGACCATGCTTCCATTTTGTAGCTGTTTGGTTTAAACCATTTATAACTTTCAGAGCTGGAAATCCAGTTCAAGGAGACCACTGCTGGCAGTTCATCAGAAGGTCTGGCCATGAAAACCTCAGTATGTGGTGTTAGTTTTAAAAATAATCAGTTTTCTACTAACTTTCATACGCCAAGCTCAGTTAGACACACAACTAGAAGAAAAACAGCAATCTAAGGAAAACCAGAGACTGTTCTTCTAAATATTGGTATATGGGTTGTAAAAAGATGATTTAAGATCATGGAATCGCAGAATGGTTTGGGTTGGAAGGGACCTCAAAGATCATCCAGTTCCAACCCCCCTGCCATGGTCAAGACCTTAAAGACAATCATAGAGGTTAAAACTGAGAGGCTGTAAAAGAGAGGCCTATGGTGTGGACGATCTTTCTTCTCCAAGTTCAACATGGCCAAGTGCAAGGTCCTGCAAGTGGGTTGGGGCAATCCCAAGCACAAACACAGGCTGGGCAGAGAATGGATTGAGAGCAGCCCTGAGGAGAAGGGCTTGGGAGTGCTGGTGGATGAAAAGCTCAACATGAGCCGGCAACGTGCGCTGGCAGCCCAGAAAGCCAACCGTGTCCTGGGCTGCATCCAAAGCAGCGTGGGCAGCAGGTCGAGGGAGGGGATTCTGCCCCTCTGCTCTGCTCTCCTGAGACCACCCCCTGCAGTGCTGTGTTCAGCTCTGGAGTCCCCAACACAAGAAGGACATGGAGCTGCTGGAGCGAGTCCAGAGGAGGCCATGGAGATGATCTGAGGGCTGGAGCACCTCTGCTGTGGAGACAGGCTGAGAGAGTTGGGGGTGTTCAGCCTGGAGAAGAGAAGGCTCTGGGGAGACCTTCCAGCAGCCTTCCAGTACTTAAAGCAGGCCTACAGGAAAGCTGGAGCGGGACTTTTGACCAGGGCATGTAGTGTTAGGACAAGGGGCAATGGCTTTAAACTGAAAGAGGGGAGATTTAGATGAGATCTAAGAAAGAAATTTTTCACTCAGAGGGTGGTGAGGCACTGGCACAGGTTGCCCAGAGAAGTTGTGGATGTCCCATCCCTGGAAGTGTTCCAGGCCAGGCTGGATGGGGCTTTGGGCAACCTGGTGTAGTGGAGGGTGTCCCTGCCCATGGCAGGGGGGTTGGAACTGGATGATCTTTGAGGTCCCTTCCAACCCAAACCATTCCATGAAAGCACACAAACACAGCCATGCTGGGGTCTCCTTCACTCATCTCTCCGGGCCCGTGCTCTGACTGCATTTCCTGGACTACGGGGTGGCACAGAGCACAGCCGTTTGTCCAGGGACAGACTGGCTGTGGGGGTGGCTGAGGTGATGCTGCCATAGACAGCAGAGATAGGTACTTGGCTGCCCAGCAAGGCTGGAGCGTGGTGGCAAGTTGAACTGGGCGATCCGTACCTCAGTGACAGCATGAGTGAAGGGTCCTTCTCTCCCTTTGTCATTAAGGTATGTTTTCCTCATCCCCTGCCCCAGAGGAGGTGAGGGCAGCAGGGGCAGTCAGCAGCTTTGCTTTTTTGCATGGATGTCCCGGGCACAGCTGGAGGTGATGTTTGGTACAGGAAGATTTGGAGAGGCAGCACGGGTGCTCCTTGGAGCCCTGCGCGGAGCGGGCACTGCCCCGGCTGGCTCCGAGTGTCAGTGGCACGCGCTGTAAGCATTCTGCCTGCTGACTGTCCCCCTGCGGACCCCATGCAGGGCAGAACGTGTGCCCGTTGGGGTTCAGTGCGGTGTTGGGGCGAGCCGGGTGCCCCAGCAGGGGACACGCAGCGCTTTGGGTGCTGCCTGCTCCTGGATTTTCGGAGCCTGTGCCGTGGGGAGCGGGCAGAGCTGTGCCCTGCCTCCCCGGGCAGGGGAAGGTTGAGAGGGTGAATCGCTGTCGCTTCAGCATTGGCATATCTGTTTCCTCTCTTTGTTCTAGACCAGTCTGCTTAATCATAAACGAAATCCCTTTTATGGCTACGTGGTTTTTACTCGTGTCGACTTTCAGGTGAGTTGGACGCTATTACCATTATTTTAAAACATCACTCTTCCTCAATAAATGTATTTTTTCTTCTTCTTTTTACGTTCTGTGAAATACAACTCGGCGTGCGCGCTCACTTCCGCGGGCAATTCTGTCCGGACAGCATGCTGCCTCTGCTGCTGAAGGACGACCTGCTGCTGGCCTACGCCGTGACGGCGCCGGCGTTCCTGTCGGCCTGTGTGGCTTCCTTCTCCATATTTGAGAAGACTTCCGCAGAGGACCTGCAGCTGAAACCGTTCTCCCTTTCCCTGAAGGGCTATGTTTCTTGGTTTAAGTCATTTCCCAAGATTGTCAGGAGTCTGGTAAGCAATTTGAACTCCTATAACTCTTACTTGCAGCTCTTCATGGTACCGAAGTACTTGCATAAACCAGTTTTATGTCTGTAACTGTGTATAAAGCCCCAAACAGGGAAAGCCACGCTATCTGTGTAGAGGTGTGCAATAATTTATTTTTTTCTGCGATGTCATTTGTGTATAGATTGAAGAATACAGAGCCCCCAAGTACTGAAAGTAACAGCTTACTCATCTGAGGTGTTACATCACCACTAGCTAATACATCATTCCTTATCTTACAGTTCCTTCTTTCCGTAACCCTGATGGGTGCCCTGTCCCTGCTGAGTGCTGCAGTGCATCCTCCGCAGAGGTTCCCGGATTTGTTCCCTGTATCTGTGTCCGTTGCTTCTTGCTTACACTTTTTATTATTTTGGGTGTATTTTAATGTCGTTATACTCTGGGACACGAAAAATAGTAGAAGTCAGAAGAAAACCAGTTAATGAACCTGTGAAGATCAAGGACTAAGCTGTGAAAGGGCAGAGTGTTTTCAGTGAGCAGTGTCTGGCGTTGCAGGTAAACCCGTTTGTGATGTAGTACAATTCCTGTCACCTGATGAAAATCAGGAAATGTGTTATGCATATTTAAACACAAAATAATCAAAGACTGTTTTAAAGGAGACGTGTTTTGAAGAGCACTTGGAAACGTGATTTGGTGTGTTTTCTTCAGAAGTGTAATACTTTTGTTACCATTTGTAAACGTAAAATACCTAATAAAGGACCAAATTTTGAATTAATGCTAAAATACCCTCGCTGCATTAGCAGAACAGGAAACTCTTTTGTTGGCATTAAGTTTACACATTTCCCAGCATAAAAAGCACCAGCAAGTGAAGTAGTGCAGGTTAAGCAGAAGCTCTCGACTGGTGGCTCTTCAGTTGTCTTGGTGAATTGTTTTGTGACAAACTGTTGTGTCGCCAGTCGCTGTCCTTGTTTCCTGTCATACACTGTGGTTCACCCGGGCTGTTGCATGAGGCTTGTGCCAGTGCTGGGCACTCTCCGGACGCTGCCATCCAAGCGCAGAGCACTTGGGTTTTCAGCTGGCAGCGTAGGGAAGAACACTCAACCTTCCCGCAGTGTCACTGGCTGGAGATCGTCTCTGTGCTCAGCCACAAGCCAGACCCCAGTTCTGTCTGGGCTCAGGACAGCAATTCTGTAGCGGCTTCAGTTCACCCACGGGCATCTGGTTTCCTTGTGTTGTGTGGTGTTTTCCGCAATAGCAAAACTTTCAGAATGGGGAGGAATCGCGTAAGCCGGAGACACGCACTGCAGTTAGTCTTATGACTCTCAACAACTGTTTCTAACAGAACTGAAAAGCCAAAACCATCTTGGTTCCACTGAAATAATAGTCGGAGGTGCTGCAGTGCAGTTTGAGAGCAGCTACTGGGCTCTTCAGAAATAAAAACCAAACCAAAAAAAAACCCCCACGATAAACCCCAGCCCTTATGGCATAGTAATGTGTAAACTGAACTGAACTCTGCAGCTTCTCCCTCTGCACAGTGCGGCCTCCAGCGCCAATAGCTCAGGGAACACAAACTGATGGAATAATCAAATGCGTAACAAAGCATGTAGGAAGGAAATAAATCATCAAGCAAGTCGTGGTGGTGTAGTTCACTATCCTTTTTTCTTAATTCTGCTCTGGTACTATACATATTAAAAAAACGAAAAAGCAAACCCCTCCTTGCTGAAAGGCCTCTGCCCCATTCCGAGCTGGCGCTGCCGCGAGCACGCTCCGGGGCTGTCTCCGCAGCGTCGGTTGTGAGCGTGTGAATCAGCTGTTGTGGGAACTTCCAACTGGGAGTTATGAATCCTGCGAGTGGAGCGGCGCTGGGCTGAGTGTGTTCATTCAGGTTTTCCAGCTTTATTTGTGGTGGAAAAAGTAACCACAGGCAATGATATACCCATGGGCAGCCACGACAAAATAAAAAAGGTGCTCCTGTACAGGAGTTGTAATGTTCCTGGTGGTGAGTGCAGTTCAGCAGCTCACCAGCACCGTAACAGTTCACTGCAAAGCAACAAAACTTAAATATTTTCACAAGTATTTAGAATTTTTCTGAGGGTGTGACTCTAATCGTGGCATGCAAGAGCTCTGCCCACAGCGTGGCCTTTCTTTCTCGGAGCGTAGGCCGAGCGACGTTGATGTGGATCGGGACACGTAAACAGGAATCTTTTTGTCTCCAGAGGCTGCAAAAGCTGGAAACTTTGGCTGGGCGAGAGACTGCCCAACACCCAGGCAGCCTGGAGAACGTCAGCTTCCCGTGAAATAACGTGTGGAACAGCAAATTAAGATGAAACGAGGGGAATGGCTTCAGGTTCTAATTAGCCTCCTCTCTTGTGGTGGTCACGAGAGGGTGGTGCACTCCTCCCCCTCGTATAAAAACATTAGTTTTGAGTGTATCTCTTTTCTTTGTCCTTGAGGTGGCCTCCAGGGGTGACAAAGTGAGAGTCACACGATCCACCTGGTGTGGAACTGGAAATGGTTCTTAGCAGACCCAGCTGCTTCGGAAAGGCATGGAACACCCAGAGGTCAGGGAAACAGGAACAGCTTAAACAGGCGAGGCACGAATGAGGAATATTTGCAGCAGAATCTTAGTATCTAATTTTGTGTTTCCCAAAAATTCTTAAATCCCAAATTGCATGATATTTAATAATTGTTGTGGTGTAAGTTACTGCTGTAACTCCTGGTCGTCCGTCATCACCGTTACTGTTATTTTCTGTAAAAGTTTGACTTTGTTCTTCCGAGGCCACACGGAACAGCTTGATTTAGACCGGCACAGGGTTCATTTACAGGCTCTCTGCAGATCAATAATTATTTAATTTCCAGCTGCAGAGGGTACAGGCAGGTTATATAAACTGCTGCTGGTTCAGGCTAACCCTCCAGTACCACACAAAGCAATCAGCTGCTCAATCTTGTATGTTTAACAAAACACCAGCAGCACAGAAAGCTTCAAAGAGGGTGGTGTAGAAGGTAAAGAGAGTAACTGACTCGGTTCCCTTCAAACGATTAGTGACGTTTTTTTCCAGACTGCACAATGCGAAAACATTTTTATTAATGAAAAACTCCCAAAGTCTGAGCCTGTACGTGTTTAGCCACAAACTGGAACGCATTTATCGTTTTGGTTCTCAAAATTTGAGTTGTAAAATTCAGTATATCTGTTCGAGTGACAGTACTTTGCAGTGGTAGCAAGAAAGGGCGTTCACTTGTGTGCATTTATGTTGAAATTTCTCTCTGGAAAAAAAATTAAAATCATTCTACCGCACTTTTTCAACAGGAGGGAGGCTGTGCCTTTCTCACCGATGTAGAGGCAGGGCATTCCCCGGCTTGGAGAGGTGGTTTTGAGGATAATGAACACAAGAAGAAACTGTTTAATAACAACTCTGCCCATACATCATTAAATACCAAACCCAAACGAAAACGTTGGCCTAAACAGCAAACGTGGAGCCATGTTTTAATACTGTGGCCTTGAAGCTGGGTTGGCTGTAGAGGAAACATCTCCGCAGATGCCAAGTACATCCCTCACTGCGGCAGCCACGGACGGGGAAGTGGCCTGTTGGTAAACAACTCGGCCAAAA